GAGTAGAAAGCCTCATCTTTCTCCCGCGGAGCAGCTGGTAGTTTCGAACCGCTGACCTTAAGGTTCGCAGCCCGATTCGTAACCACTACGCTAAAAATTTAAAAAGACAAGGCATTTCCCAAGAGAGTACTCTTACCAACCAAGAAATGACAGTTGATATAAAGAGGAAGCAAAACAAACCTTGCAAACAGCAAAGAAAGGAACTCAAAAAGCCAAGCAGCTTTCACTACTTCTCGTTGGCTGCCATCCAGTCGGTTCTGACCCAAAGCGTCCCCTACGTACCACAGAAGGAACCACTGCCCGGTCCTGCACCGTCCTCACAGTTGTTAAGCCTGAGTCCACTGCAGCTGCCCCTGTGCCAGTCCATCTCCTTAGGGGTCTCCTCTTTCTCCCTGACTCTCCACACTACCAAGTATGATGTCCTTTTCCAGGGACTAGTCCCTCCCGATAACATGTCCAAAGTATGAGAGATGAATGAAGTCTGGCCATCTTGGCTTATAAAGAGCATTCTGGCTGTACTTCTGCCAACACAGATTTATTTCATCTTCTGGCAGCCCACTGTACTTTTAATATTCTCCTCCCAACACCATAACTCAAATGCATCAATTCTTCTGTGGTCTTCCTTATTCACTGCCCAACTATCACATGCAAATGTTGTTAAGTACTGTTGAGTTGGTTTAATTCATGCATATGGTGGTGGTGGTAGTGTGCCTTGGAGTCGGTTCCACTGATAGAGACCCTGTATAGGGTTTCTAAGGCTGTAAATCTTTATGGGAGCAGAAAGCCTCATCTTTCTCCTGTGGAACAGCTGGTAGTTTCGAACACTGACCTGACCTTGAGGTTAGCATCCTGACTTGTAACCACTATGCTACCAGAGCTCCTTAATTCATGCATACAAGGCTACTGAAATACCTGGGCTTGGGTCAGGTGCACCTTAGTCCTCAAACATCTTTACTCTTGAACACTTTAACGAGGTTTTGGGCAGCATATTTGCCTAATGCAATATGTCGTTTGATTTTTTGACAGCTACTTCCACAGAGACTTAGGGCCTCAGATTGTGGGGTAGTTCTACTGTGTCCCACTGTGACTCAAGGAC